TTCCGTGGAAGCGAAGCGCAAAAACGTCTACACGGTCAGTGCAATGAGGTTTTATTGATTTCTACAGTTTCTCTTTTCCATTCGTTCAGTCGCGATTTTTCTTTAAAAAGAGGAATTCACGATAACTTCAGATGCCGAAGAAGGGAGAATCTACCCAATCGAAGGGGGGGGGGGCTTTTCAAGGGGCGGGACAATGCGCGTTCGTAGTGAAAGTATTTCTCCAGCAACCTAGCAGGGTCATATTGCGCCGCTCGCGCGGCACGCCCACCCTTCGCCGTCTGACTCTAGCCGTTTAGCAGAGAGAGCGTTAGCGTTGAAGAGGGCAGCACCGATGAGAGTCGCATCAATGCGGAAATCAACGGGCAAGGAAGGGGTCCCATTTCTCGGGTTCTGGGCCGTTTCTCATGGTTTTTCTTCATCCTGCACCACTGACCACCACTACCTTGATTTCTGATGGAATACCTCTCTATCGCGAGCTACGCCTTCAAACCATCAACAGTGTGTAGCAACACCCCACCTTCTAGTCGGCTAGACTGTTACGTCCCCCATATGAGTGTGTCAGAAATATCGAATGGTTGGTGCGGCGGCAATGTGTAGGATCGATGTCGAAGATTCAATGAGATAAAGTTTTCTCAGAAATATATGGTTCTGTGAGTTGGGATGCGCAGCGCATATGGAAATAGTAATGGATTTTTCAAGGGTAAAAATAACTTCCAAAGACAGCGTAATTGGCGCTGAAATCACGCGCATTCCAGCAGTGTGTGTCAAGAGACTCGAATTGCGGCTGTGCGACGAAGGCGATGGCAAGTGTTGCATGCAACAGAACGTCACACATTTTATCAAATTCGTACACACTTTAATTTGTGAGATCAAGGGGTGAGCTAGATAAAGCATTTTTATATGGATTTTCATTCTATTTCTCAATTTCTATTGTATAACCTGCCGGGAAAAGCATGAGTCAGTCAGCATCATTTCCGAATTTCCAGAAGAGAATTTAATTTACTTACAAAGAATTTTTTCACTTCGCACGCAGAATAACAGATTTCGGCTTGGAAAAAAAGCAATATCACCTACTTGCTTTCACGCGAGAATTCCTGCAATGGGGTGAGTTAGTAAGCCAAGAAATAAAACGCGCAGCCACCTGGCTTTCGCGTCGCTGCAACCTGGATCTCCTGACTCACTCCCCATGACATAGCATTGAGAACTGAGGTTATATTAAGAATTCGGCCCTCAGCCAGGGTGAATATCGGTCGAGGAAATCCTCGACAGGGGGGTCGTACCTGTTGGGCTGGTCCATGGGGGGTCGTACTCTTGGGGGTCAGTAACAGAAGTGGTATCATGGTGCAGATAGGTAATAGGGTATAGCGCAGCAGAAAATGAAAACATCCGAAAAAACATGATATTAAATTTTCTTTGCAGGTTCAGTCGCTCCATTCCTCCACCTTCATGAGAAGGGCGTATTTGAAGGCAGTACAAAGAATGAAAGTGCATCCCCGCAAAGAAGACTGCCACATGTGCGCACGCGCTGCAAAGGCACCTCCTCCGCCTATCACTCGCTCCTTCTCCCTTAATACCTCGCTGAGAATGACGCTGTTGTTAGGGACCCTGTCGGAAAAACGACAACCGTGAAGAAAAAGCGCTGGGCAAATGAAGTTGTTTTTTAGGTTACAGGAATAGCACAACACACTATGTCTACTACAATACAGTTTCGTTCGAAGGTCCCCATCATATAACACCTTTCAATCGATTCTGCAACTGTGAGTGGAGGAAGGGATGCATGGCTTATACCAATACCAAATCGGATGATGACGATTGCTCCTATTCTTATTGTTTGCGTTCAAAGATATTGTTCTAGACACATTCCGAGTGTTGCCAACGAGTCACACTTGCAATGGTGAATGAGGGAGCGGATTTCCAGGTGGCCGGATCCGACCTCGATAGATCCTCGACGCAATTATCTCTTCAACCAAAAAGCTGTAGAAGAAAACTAAACAGACCATCAGGAAGCGCAAACCTTCCGCTTTCCAAAACTATCCCTTTTTCAGGATCTTACAATATAAGAGATATATTGCTCTTGAAGTGGCAAAAACTCGCGTGAAAATTTCGGCCTCCTCGACATTTACTCGACGAAATTTGAGAGACCCTATCTTTCTGCAAGGAAGGCTCCAGAGCAATTTCGATGCTTGTTGGAAACGCGAAATCCAGCTCTATCTAACTCTACCTCAAGCTGCTTCAAAGGTTGTGAAATGGAGGAATGCAACCTTTTCATCGAGGGTGTAGATTCGGACGTTTTTTTTTGAAATTTCGGCAAATCTGACCCAGTGACAATCGCGCCGCAGCTGCCGTTGAATCGGCCTTTGATACACTCGGCTGTTTTGATATACTCAAGCAAGAATCAAGATTGAATCGCAACCCCGTGTCTTCAGGATTTCTGTGCGTTTCTGAACGAACCTCGCCTTGAGGTCACACAAAGTTAATGCCTCTTTCCTCGAGTCGATATTTCAGTATGTACACAAAAGTATGCAGCGATGGAAGACGTGCATAGATGACAAGATGAAGCGTCCTTAGCATTATTTTGCAGAATTTTTTTTGATTTGTTTTGCAGGATTTATTTTAATTGAATTAATTTGCTCTGTTAGAGGGGGTCGTGCCAGGATCTCGATTTCGGGGGGGGGGGGGGGTCGTACCTCTGCGACCACGTACTCGACACGATTTTCACCCTGACTCAGAACCCATCAATTGTACCGATCTTCCTCAGTCGACTGACCGGCATCTCTCTATCGACACTCAAAGCACTGTCTGTACACTATTTGGTTTCAGAAGTGACGATATAGGGCATATACACCAGTATGTGTGAGCACGATCCGAGATAGAGACGATGCATGGCGCATCCAAACGTACAGCCATTTAGTCGGACTATTGGTTGCTTTCTCCAGTGTGTTCACTAATTAGATACAAAGTGGTTTAGACGGGGAGAATTCTGGACGAAAGGCAGGCTATCCAAAGCCGAGGAAGGGTGAGTCCAATGGTACAGGGAGGAATAAAATAAGAATGGCACAGAACGCTAGAGATATGGGATCCCTTCTGTTTCCTTTGATTCCACGTTGATGCCTCTTCAACGCTAACGCTCTGCTTCGCTTCTGCTAAACGGATAGAAACAGACAGCGAGGGGCTACTCAACGGTGGGCGTGCCAAGCCGATAGCGGCGCGCCCACCGATGAGTAGATTCTGCGCTTTCTGTACTACCCCTAGACCTGAGAGATACTACTGGGGCGCTGCAAAAGCAGCACCGTTGTCGCATCCTACAGGACCGCCGCCTTTGAACTAGGTAGATTTCCTCGCTCGATGTGCCTATATATTGGGAATCTCCCTGCAAAGTAGCATCCGGCAGGAGTAAAAACACCGAGCAAGGTCGCATCTTTATGAAGTTGGAAATGCCCCAGTGATGAGTCACTGAAATTTGGGTCATGACACTCCCCTCCCCCCTGCTCCCCTGAATTAGCCCAACAGTGCAATGCTGTACTAGTCCAACTCTGCAGACGATAAAGCTGCGTCTGGTTTTTGGACTGATTATAGTTCAAGCGCACCACTTACCAGTGTAATTGCGGTCATTATTTTCAATGTGGCAATTTTTTCTGCGCTCTCATTATTCTCATCGCACTTCTCAGAAATTATGGCTAGTTGAACTTACCATTAGAGATCATTTCGCAGCGCCCTATATGAGTCTGCAGAGATTCATAGGCTATAATTTCCCAACGTGACAACTCAGGTGACTCCCCTACTTTGTCTATTTAAGCCATAAAATAGCACCTAGAAAAGCTCTCGACTCTCATTTGCAAGCCAAACCTCTTGATTCCCTTACTCTGTTGAATTTTACAAAAACCTAGAATATATAGTGTCAGCGAGAAGCGTAGAAGTTTCCTGAGTAGGTCTAAACGGATCCGGGCAACGTCAAGCGTCTACCCGACCAGTAACGGATCAGCTCACCTATTATTGTGCTATTGTGGCTTCTGGAAAGAAGGGACAATGTCTTGGGCTAGGTAAAATCCTCCCTATTCCGGTACCATATAAATGTTTTTCAAGACATATTCGATATTTTCATGTTAGAATATTGGGTGGGTGGTGGTATTGGCAAGTATCACAGATCACCACGCTTATGGTCCGGGGATCGAACCCTATATAGAAATGCCAGTGAATCCTTCCATCCTCTCGAAGTGGGTTAAAGGAATCCTTCCCAGAAAAACCATGATCCTATCTCACCCATGAATCACTGGCTTGAAACCCATCATTCACGATAAGAACAAAAAAAAATGCATTTGTTTTGGTAAACAATTCGAAAAACCGGAAGGACTGCTACGCGTTCAAATTCCCGCCGGACATCTGTCACAAATGCTGGCGGCGGGAACGCTTCCACTTGGTTCACGGAGTGCTGTCACTAGAAACTCTTTTTGACCTTTTGACTTATTGCACTAACATCTCACACTTCTACTGCATCCTATTCTATCGATCGATTTGTCTCTACTCTCCAAAATCGAACGCTTTAACCCGATTCTTTCATTGCGTCGCCTGATATGTGCTTGCATAAAGGCTTTCTGGCCTCCTCTCATACGTTCCCTTGGCTCCGCCCCATCTACCGCAACCGTCCCCAGAGGGCGGTTTCCTATCTTCTTGCGAGCAACTTTGTACGTTGTTTCTAGTGATCACAGGTGACGTATTTATGTGGTAGGAAACGCAAGAATTTCCGATGGACCATTTCTTCAACCGTTAGCGTAATACCTCAAAAGGATAAAAGGATCGGTCAACGTGTGATGTTCTTTATCCATTGCTTTTTGCTTATTGTAATAATTATAAGTATTATAAAAAATTGATTAAGATTTTCTTGATTCCGCTTGATATTTAGGCTTTGCCTAACTCCTTTCTGCCACTAACCCGAAATTGGGTACGGTGCGAAATTACAAGCCGTCAAAGCGACAAAAATAGAAAACTTTTTTCTTTTTAGAATGTCGGTGTTTCCTGCATTTCCCACATCGACCGAGCCTCCAGCCCATGGGCAAGAGCCCGTGCCTCATTGCGATCGTAGGCAATGCGCGGTAGAAAAGGGTTTCGAAGACGTCATCTACAGCACAACCACATTAAAAATTCTGGAGAGCGTCACCACGATAGCTGTTTTTCTCGTAAGCACCCTTCTACTGCTCGTACTACTCATTGGAAGACGTCGGTTCACGGTAATTGCTATTTTCTCATACCTATCGAACCAAACGAAAAACAAACTAAATGACGTCATCATTGCAGGTACCGTTCTTCAGAATCCTTACCGTCCTGGTCACCGTTATCGTGACCCGTTCTGTGGTCAGTATTGCATTTAAGCTAATCACCCTGTGGACAGGAGTACCGATTGCCAGCCAGAATATCATCACATTGGTGGTTGATATTTTTAGCAAGAAAATGATAATTCTATTGATTTTTCTTCTGGCACTGAATCGATTCGCTATTATTTTATATCCCATACTGGACAGCCTATTATTTGCACGGTGAGATTAGATAATTCTAGAATTTGAACTTAATTGAGACCGCTGCTTTTTTACTCTCACTTACAAAGACAACAGGTAAGCCGCGACCGAAGGTTATGCGCAATATTCCACTCGAATATGAAACAAGGAAAGCGTAGATGAGCAAAAAGCAAAGGGAAACATAGAGAAAACTGGAATTGAGGATCTCTTTTTTTGTGTGTCCAACCAACCATGGTACGACGGAGAGACACAGCTCAAAGAGAGGAGGACGTGCGCGAGAGCATGACGTACGAGAGGACACAGAAACCGCACACACTGCAAACTAAGTGCAGCCGTTGCAGCGGTAAATTACGAGGCCTCAGCGTCCTCGTCCTAGTGACGCATTTCGTGTCACTGTAATGTCACGACTCCTCTAATTATGGACCCCGTTACTCGCCCGTAGAAAGAACTGCTCTAATAATTCGATTGCGAGCGTGTCTTTTAGCAGTCTCATTCGAACACGGCCTTACTTATTTGCGCCCTCTTATTAGAAGCAGTGATATCTCACCCATCCTACCACTGAAAACCCTGGGGTTAAATTTTCACAGTTTTGCAACGTTAGACCTTCTGTAAGAAGGAGTAAGGGTCGGATTGGCGAAAAAGGTATCCTTTTTTTTAAAGCTATGTCGGAAGATTAGATCTCACGTTGTGGTATTAACGACTCAATAGTTAGTTGAGCAAACCCGGATGAGCCCGTGCAGCGTCGATCCCGTGAATAGGCATGGAGTCGACGAGTATCACAGCTGTTGCGTTTCACAGCTTTGAAAGTCCGCGACAAAGTGGCATCTTTAGGGGCTCACAAAACTGTTGACGCGACACTGCACAACTAATATAAGCCAATCGACGAGATACCTCGCGCATACCCATGATACGCAACCGTGGATCACGGCGTGGTCGACGCTGGCTTCCACGCTGGATTTGCTACCCTCGCGTTATCAATCGATAAGGTGTGAGGCAGTAATTGTTGGACGAGTGTAAGCCCATGGAAGATATGATACGATGAGATAAGAAGGTGCGGCTGCTTGATAAGAGGTGCACTCCAGAATGAAAACGGGACGATAACGATCGGTATCATATCTAGCACGCTCTTATCGCACCCCTTTCCACATCGATAAGTCTTGGTTTTTGCTGAACGGAAGTGGATTTCGGCGCCTTATCACTCCGTTGATAAGGCGCCACTGCCACTGAAACTTCACGTGTTGTAACACTGGGCAGGACCCCTATCCACTCCAGTACACAGCTTCCTTATCGTCCCTATGAAATTATCGTGACCACTTCCTTTTAAATGGAGCCATGAGGCGAGCAAATTCCGAAAACTCGTCCGGACCAGCCCACTACATTCTGAGAGGGGGGAGAGGCAGCTACTGATTTGAGGCTCCATCGGCCGTCTGTTGCTACGTTCTCCTTTTTCGTTTCTGTCAACTGGAATGTCACTCTGTATTTCCTTCCACCACCACAACTTCTTCCGGAAACCCCCATAGTAAACATACCCTACTACAAGAAACGGAAAACGATCCATCAATCGCAGCTTACGCAAGCTATGCAAGGCTGAAAAGCGCAGCGACGAGTATCCAACTCTCAGAAGTGAAGAGGTCAAGCTCACGAGAGTCGTCCACGAGCTCTGGCGTGGAGTGCCAAAATACACGACCGCTGTGTTTTCGGCTCTATAATTCAGTTTTAGCGGAACGTCAGTAGATAGCAAAATTCAGTATCAGGTGCGGCTTCTCAAAGCCCGGTAACACAAAATGCACATTGATTTACAGTATACCAAAACTTACGATCTAAGGGGCGACTAATCCTAGGACAGGTTTTGAAGATACTGATAACCTTAGGGGATTCTGAATGAATTTTTGATAACTAATTTCTCAACGTTTATTTACCACAGCGTGGTCCAAGTAATATATAAATATTAGTAATATGCTAAAATGCGGTAGATAACTATATACTACTAATTCAGATATCGCTATATTTTCCTGTGTCTAATCAGCTTTGTGATATCAGCGGCAGTAACCTATGCCGTAATAACGATGTCGAACATGCGTCGGGAATTTGTGCCAGAAATTGCGATTTGTTGACTATATATTGACTCTGCCGAACCTTACGAGGTACACGTTTGATTTGGTTCGCAGCTTATGATCTTATCCAATCTTTCACTATAAGGGAACAATAAAACGATTCCATGTACAGGGGGGGGGGGCAAAAGAGTCACTTTGCCATATGGCGCACATCATCAAATTTTTCTTCGCACAGGATGCCGTTGTTGATGAATGTTTTACGGCAGAATATTTCCTTAAGTGTCCCCCTATAAGCAGAAGCAATCCCTCCTTCACTGCCCTCACGACCTTCGGAATATGACGTCATCTGCCGTCGACATCGAGCTCAACGAGGCTCACCTTAGTCGCTCCGGCCTGAAGCTGCAACATAATTTCTTCAATCGGTTAACTGGTGAATGGTTTACCCAGGCGAACACTGACTGTAAGAAATAAATGCAAAGAACCAACTTAATTGACAGAATTTCAGGGACCTCGTAATCGTCTATATAAGGTAACCTCGAACCGACCTCGGTTGAGCTTCGTACCATTGAACACGTTTCCGTGGTGGGAAAACTTTCTGTTCAGCTCGGTGAATATAGGGCTCTTGACAGATTGAAATGTGCCTCTAAATAATTCGCAATTAGGCTCCTATCGATTTTGGATTACGTACAGTTAGGCAATATATGCAGAGTGAAATGAATGTGGAGGGAGGTGACTCATTATTTTTGGTACCGCCCTCGTAGGTGGGACATTACCACCGGAAAATGAATGCCTCTCCTTATCCAAGCTCTATGGCCATTTATCCCTGCTAGTCACACTTTTATGGAAAAAAGAAATGAGCCCGGAATAGAACGTCAGTCCCGTGGAAGTAAAATTTTTGAATTGTATTAACCTCTACCATGAGCTGCCAAATTTTCTAACCTCAAACACATTTTCCCCGGTTTCAGCATTGCAACAAGTCGCTTTATGATTTCATCAAAATAAAAAAATGAATGAAATTCTGTAAACTTCTCCGGCCGAGAAAAAAGCTGGGAGCACTGAAATCGTGGCATGCTAACCCCTTCGACTGCTACATGTAACAGATATATTAATAACACAGACCGCAATAGTCGACATCGTAGCAGAGAATCGAGTGGAGAAGGAGAACACATCGCACAAAATGACGGCGTCTAGGGGATGAGCGAGTCCAAGACCAGGCCGTAGATCCAACAGTATTGAAGGTCGGTGCGTAACCTTAAAAAACGCTCACTCGCACTATGGGCTTGAAGCAAACGTAATGAGTGTTGAAGGAACCAAATTTACCTGTGAAGTAAGACAAAGACTGCACCGACTAGGACGTATATTTAGGATTTCCCGCCACGTCGCAGGCTCAAAGATGCGCAAAAGTGCGCTAGAGCCTCACATCAAATGTAGCAAATCTAAGCGCACAGTTAGGGAAGCCTACACTTAACACGGCAGCAGTGATGCACGTAGACACCTTATAATCAAAAACGCGCGGGGTTTTTAATGCCAAGAAGAGTCAACAAGGCTCAGGAAACTCGTCCACACACGCTCTTTCCTCATTCCAGAGGCAGAAGGGAAGGAAGTTTTTGTTGAGAGCTTAAGAGCGCAATTACCGCACCGACTTGGGTCCTGGATCGTGCTCTAAAGACATTGATTGCGATGGTAAAACAGCGGCGCGGTTTTGAAAACTGATGGACTAGACCCCTCGAGACGCTTGAGGAAGTGTGGTCAAAGGAGTCCTTGATGCTCTGCCACCGATTGAATGTGAGGAAGGCTTCGAAATGCACCTGCCCCGTGCGCGCATCAGTCGATTCACGGCCATTCAGATACTCACGCGTTATTGATAGCCGTTTCGGTGAAAATCCGAAATTTATGCATTTATGAGGTGCACCCCATCCGTTAAAATTTCAGAGCAACAGCTTAAAGATGACAATTTGTTTCAGATCGCCTCTATTGTTTCGCTTGTATTCGCTTTTGCTTCCGTATGTTTACATTTGACGATCATTGTGCATCTGCGATGCCAACATCGTGCAACTTCAGTCGACACCGCCAAGGTTCGTAAATTCCAGGGTCATTCAACAAGGAACCAATTAATCAGTTAAAATTCAGGTGCAACAAAGGATGTTCCGAGAAGTCGCTTTGATGACCTTGGTGAACGCGGTACGTTAGTTTTCGAAAACCTATTACTCTTGACATGGGAATATACAAGACTTAAGCTGCTGAGCGCTATGCTAAGAAAGGGGACGTTTTTGCGCGCGGTGCAACAGTTTGTGAGTAATACGCAGTACTCGAATGTAATTTGAGGTAGTCTCTGGTATATATACGCTAAATGCTGTGTTTTCCGTTATAACGCGCGTTCCGGGCGATTTTATGTCTCGTGCGCCATTATGGCCTTTATGGGTAGACATATGGAGAAACAGATTGCCATTCTAGAGGGGGGGTATTCTCCCTGCTGCGCTACGGGGCCTCGGAGCAAGGCCAAGGAAGTTGCGCGCTAATTGGGACAAGAATTTTCGCATGTTTTTGAAGTTGAATCAACTCCCAGAAAGCCTCATAAATCCTCCTAGGCTAATTTGTCAGGCGGAATCCAATCCTCAGAGTCATTGGAGTGCATCTCTGCACGCCAGAGGTAGCAACCGGCGCGTGACCTGGTGTCCAAAAAAATTTTTGCCACTCTGCCCCCCCCCCCCTGTTAACGAGTTGCGTCTGGCGATGTGAAACCCACCCTTACACCACCCACGTCCTCGGCGCAGGCTCCTACGACTGTGCCGCCACCACACCCTCCTTCACCCTACACCGACATCCTCTCACACATTGCCGTCAAGGCTGTTAGCTATGTACTGGGTTTCGTTCCGAGACACCAGACCCCAGCCACTTTCCTCGCAAGACAACGTCAAGAGCGGGGGGAGGGAGTTGGAAGGCGAAATTGTAAATGTAAAGCAAGTAAATCTCGCGTAATGCTGGGCAACTTCACCGTATTTGCACAGAACATAAAACAAACTCGTCAAATTATGCGCCAAGCAACACCCCCTTGTTATGACCCGCTTCTCCGAACACTTTTTTCTTGAGAGTAAATGACCCTTCACACACTTCCCAACCGAAAGTATGACTCTTTTCCGAATAGTGGCGAAAGGACGGATGGACCGGCTCTGCCACGGGGAAGAGCTCCTCCTCCATGAGGACATAATGAGCGCCAAATCCCCATGAAACCTAGCTATTTCAGATATTCGCCTTACTATTTATTGCTCTCTACTACACGCCCTATTCGTATGAATCTCGTATCATGATCATCAGCCTTTATAATACATTGTGTTTCGTACCAGATATTCTGATACCTGTTTTTATATTGATTGGCTCTAGAGAAGTTCACGCAGAAATTTCATCGAGATTTTCCTGCGCCAAAAAAATAAGAGTACCCTCACCTCACAAAACTGTCACCTTATTATAAGTAGTAGAACCACATGTGGTTATACTTATAATAGGGTGACAGTTTTGTGAGGTGAGGGTACTCTAATTTCCAACCACTCAGTGTTTGCGAAAATAAATGATGTACTACATGACCCCATCCTTTTTTGAGCCCATGTTATATCCTTGATAATATTGAACTTCAAAAGGTCTGTGCAAGGTCTCAAAGACCACGAATCCACCCGCTCGGGTATGTATGATATGTATACTCGGGTAGGTATGATTCACCTGAAATCCCATCTCCATAATTGTATTGACTCATTATTTTTCTCACTGTGTGTTGTATTCTTTTCTAACTTGCCTTACGCAACGTAATAAATAAACAATAAACAATAAACAATGTGTCGTTAGGTCACGGGCGCAGCAATACATTTTTTTGTGGCCTCTTAGATACCAGCACGCGAGGCCAGTCCGACATGCGTGCCATCCTCCACCTTCTAGATTAACTGCGCTCGGTATAGTTGGCGAGTTTGCTCGACGCATTCTCTCCTCGTTGAGAGAGCGCAGAGAAAACGAGAAGTGGGAGGCGAGCACACATGAAAATCGATAACACGTGACATTGCGCGCCCCAGTGCCAACGCTTCAGCGCGTCAATGCGTCGCGCATTGTACGTGACTGCGGCAGGAACATCATAATTCACGCTGACTTCATGTGGTCACTGTGTCCAAATGGCTTAAGTCCCTTTGCTCCCCATTCGTCTACCGTACAACAAGCTGTGTCCAACATCCTTTTTTGAATCATGCACAAAGGTGAGTCCTCGCTTCACAAGTGTGAGAAAAAGCAACAAAAAACGATGGAGTAATCACTAGAAGATCTGGAAAAAAATGAGAGGCTGAATGAAGCAAATGAGTTGAAAACTTAAGGGGGAGCAACAAGTGAACAAAGGGATGTCAAAATGAGTGATTCGGTGGCGATCGCAACGTACACCGCATGCATGGCGGCGCTTGTGATCGTGGTGAATTATGACCGCAGTCTAACAGATTACCTCTGTAAACATTGAAGCAACACTCCCAGTAGAAGTCGTGTCGAAGAATCTACAGGGGGGGGGGGCAAAAAAAAGCTCGCCAAACACTTCAGATTCAAAACTAGAATTTCATTTACTCCCCAGCAACCAAAACAATGAGCTCAATTGCTTATTGAAGAGCACATTCTATTCTATCAAAAAATTACATAGGGGCTTTCTACACCGACGACATCAGAAGATTTTCCCACGGAAACATGGTTCGCGGTACGAGCTCAACGAGGTCGTCGAGAAACCATAGACGATTACGACGTCTCTGAAACGCTGTCAAAAAGCCATTTTGCATAGTCAGAGCTAGTGTCCCTAAGAAGTCATTCACCAGTTATCCGATTGAAGAAATTATGTAGCAGCTTCAGAATGGAGCGATTATGGTAGGCCTCCTTGAGCTCGACGGTGATGACAGATGACGTCATATTCTGGAGACGGTGAAAGCAGCGAAGGTGGGCCTGATTCTGCTTATGGGGGG